ATTTGACGTAGTTTAATGTCATACAACAAATCGCTTTTAATTTGTAAAAAATTTCTAAAAACCAACAAACCTATGTCCCCATTACAGATTTTATTAACCCCCATTACAGATATGCACATCCTCCTTTCGATTCTACAAACTAATAATATACTAATGATAAATCAGGTATTGTGCTAAGTATTTAAATTAATTTTTTTACATAATAAGAATTAATTTAGATTAAATTACAGAAATTAGTGATTTATGTAGTAAATATGTTCAATATAGATGTCGTTAATATAGAGTGATTGAAAATTTAGCCTAAATGTTCAGCGAGACCCCTAAACGTTCCCTAAATTTAGGGCTAGATTTAGCCCTAAACATTCCCAAAATTTCACTACTAACATCTCTAATTACAATATTGTACATGCATTTCTCAAATGTAAAAATTTTATAATTAAATTATAATTAAAATTAAACACATTGACAATAAATATCATGTGTTATAAACTTTACAATATTGTTTGTTAAAACATTTCAAGACACAGTTATTAAATACAAACACTATAACTACATTTATATCCACATTAAATGTATAAATATTATAAATTAGGTTTAGGATAAATTTCCAGTTTCATTACTATCTGTATTAGGTCTGGCCAACCTTTTTTTTAGTATATCACAGGTATAGATTCACAGTATGCCATAAAAAGGTTCAATATATCTTTTATGAGTATCCAGAAAGAGCTTAACTTTTTCATTAGGTTTAATTATAACTATGACATCGATTTCAACCATTGAATCAATCATTTGAAAAATTTGACTTTAGCTGTGACTAAAGCTAATGAAAAAGTTAAGCTCTTTACGAATAATTTTAACTCATATATACTATTTATATAAACCTTTACAAAATTTGCATTTTATAAATTTTATACCCTCTGTGTATAATATGTTCATTTATTTGAATAATTAACAGAGCATTGCATTATAGGTGAATATAAGACCCCAAATAGTCACTATAATAGTTATGAAAAACAGCCCAAATAGTTACTCAAATAGTTATTTATAATTTGACAAAATAGGCTTAAAAATTATATAAAATGTTACCAAATGTCAGTTTCACTCTTTAATACATTAAATATAACTATTATTAAGTTAAATCACTCGTATTTAACTAAATTAACTGTTTCTAAGAATATCTTAATTATTTTAATTAAAGGCTTGAATACATACAACTCATAATTTTGGTCATACCATCGCTTTGAATGATACACTATTGCAATATTTTATAATAACCTTTATATTTTTCATAGTTTACTCTGTTTTAATTTTTTTGCTATCTAACAAATGTAAATTAAGTTGTGATTTTCTTTGTTTTTTATACTAAAATATAGCAGAAACTTGAAAAAGGTGTCAAATAGTTACGTATAAGGTAATTAACGTTCAAATAGTTACAAACGCCTCAAATAGTTAAATATAGTTAAAATAAACTTTCGGTAAACTGACCCCCAATACATGATTGGTTCACATCCCGAGTCTTGGGGTAATACTATTAACCGCTAAAAATAGGTGGTATAGGTAAATGCAATTCCCTGATGATTAATAATTTTTAATCCAAACTTTGAAACATAATTTTAATGTTGGTTATGACAATTGGCTTTTCTACTCCAAGTCTCTAATAGAGACTTGGTTGACCAGGAGTAATCTATATTATAGCAATTGTGTTATAATAAATGAATACATATGTAATTTACATTTATATATTCCTAAAATGATAGCATCTAATTATATAATATTATTGCATACAAATGATAAATAATACAATTTTTCAGACAAAACATAATTATGTGAAAAAGAGAGAAAGAAAGAAAGAAAGAAAGAAAGAAAGAAAGAAAGAAAGAAAGAAAGAAAGAAAGAAAGAAAGAAAGAAAGNAATATAAACTTAGTGCCAGAAAAAAAGAAAGAAAGAAGAAAGAAAGAAAGAAAGAAAGAGAGAGAGAGAGAGAGAGAGAGGTTTTGACACATTAAAAAATATCTTGATAATAATAAAATTTTTAAGTATTTATTAATTATTCATTTTAACATTCGTTGTTTTGTAATTTTAGTACTTTTCAAATTATTATTTAATGTCAAACACAAGGATTATTGATATACTTAAATATTTAAATTGTTTACATCGATAAAACATAACCATATGTTAGGTTATGTATGAAATTTCAAAACTAAATGACCAAAGATTCATAAAACACAATACATTTGCATACATATAGACTATTAATTTGATTTAACATATGCCTAGTAATGAGATCATTATTTCGTTTATATTATAGCTAATTCAATATTACATCAAATTTATTACACAATACAATACAAGTTAAAACACAAAAACTATCCAGATAGCATTTCTAAGCGCCAATTAAATATTATCACTCTCATTAAATGTAGTTCGTTCATGTCTTAATAAAATATAATTCATATAAAATATAATTCAAAACATAATTTCCCAAAATTTGTATGTTTTTTCTGTAATATTGAAACGTTAAAAGTTCAATTGTATGGTAAGTTTGATGTCTTATCATAATACTGTATCTAAGTTTGGAAAAAGTTTGGAAATTAACTTTAAATATTATTTTTAAATATGGGCCCGGGTACGGAAAACCGTAAACTTGATTTTGCAGTTATAATATATTTATTTATTCGTAATCAGCATACATAACCCTCCATATCAATCTTATGTGGAATTTAACGTTGAGTTCGAATATGAAATCGAGCATTTTTAAATCTCAAATAGTATTTGAAATATCGGGACCCGAACTTCCCATAGAAGACCATTATAAAAATGTTTTTGTTAAAATTTTTGTTAAAATAATTTTTTTATATTAGGTTAAGTTAGGTTAGGTTAAGAGTGTACAAGAATGGTAATTAAACTTATATTTGGTGATTTAAAAAATAAAAACATTTTATTGTTATATCAAGTTTACGGTTTGCCGTACCCGGGCCAAAATATGTGCGAAAAATATTTCAAATTCAAAAGCGATTGCGTTTGTCTTAATGCCGACCATATAACCAACGATTGGGCCATCAATACAACAAACACACCGTTTTGGTTGTTTACAATATCATATCCGCCGCTAATCACATACAATGAATCGCTGACAACAACTCCCGGGGATAACACATCTGTCCTATACTATCAATATTGCGGTCCATTTATAGTACTGTTGCAAACATTCGCCAAATATATCAACACTAAGTATATGTTTAATATATTATCCTAAAATTCTGTGCATTGCCCGCACCCATTTTGCATCTATATACTGTATATAATATAATACGCTCTTTAAAAATTTTTGTGTGCATATTTTTCTACATGTAGTAAGCAATACATAAATCACGCGCATACAAAAATTGTCCAATAATTTGATAGATAACCCGAAGGCAATGTACGGAATTGTAGGGTATACAAATTTTAAATAATATAATATACACTTATATGAAATGAAAACAGTTTTATTATAAAACCACACGTGAAAAGCATACAACAATTTATTGATTTGGGAATGAATAGGACAATCTATAGTAGCAACAATTCATTGCCACATATTATTACACTTCCCTTTCAAACGATTGGAGTACTGGATATGTTGCTCAAGTTTATGGGATATAGACTAACCCGATATATCGGTCAAATGGACAGCGATGTCATTATAAGCAAACCATTATTAGGCAAATAATGTTATTTTGTTAAAAACTAGTTTTAATATAAATATTTAATTTTATTAGACGTTTGCACTGAAAATAAACATTAGTTTAGTGCACAACGTCTTAAAATCACAATAAATTCAATTTAATTCAATTTAATTCAATTCAATGTAAGCCTGAATTTGATTAAATGTTTGAATTCAATGTCATTGTTATGATTAAACCAAATGTTAAACATTAAGGCTTTTTTGTACTTTAAAAAGTGATATAATTTATTATTTATGCTCTTATTTACAGTAAACCGATCGGCGCTAGAGATCATCGATTGTTGGGATCAAAACATTTATGTCTTTATATTATTATCAATTCTGACCATCGGTTTTGTATTTGGCCTCAAATACCGATCCGTTAGAACCGGTTTTGAGACAATGTGGGGCTATTTAGCGGTCCTTTTATCCGATTATTTTACTGTCAAACAAATCGCTAAACCCTTTGACCGACTATTCGCCGGCCTATGGCTTATGGTTTGCACAATACTATTATCTCTATATTAGGCCAAAGTATACGACAATATGATTGCGGACCAGAGATATGACACGATTGAGAGCTACGATGATCTGCACACCAAAGACCAGTGGAAACACTTAAACATATATCCGTTTGGCTTTGAATTTATAAATCATGCATTTCTTGATTTTACCGATCGTAACGATATTGCCATGAAATTAGGCGACAGAATTGTAATTAAAGTTCTTATTGTTAATGCATTAAACCATACATTAAGTCATGACATATGTTTGGACGTATTATCCGGTAATTCAGTATTAATGATACCAAAATTTTGTGGATATTATATATTAAGACAAATGCAGGCCATATATAGCGATGAATCTGAGGCCTATCGGGAGGCCATTGACTATTATATATCAAGTGGTGATTCGTCTAAATCCTTGTACTATTGGGGCGTAAATAACGAGCGATTTAACCAATCGATTACCGATAAATTAAATAAAATGTGAGTTAAGTTTCAGACATAGAGTAATTATCACAATATTTATTGCATTATCACTACAAATATGTTGATTAAAATTAAACGCATTATATTTACTAATACAGTGCAACTTCTCCATAGGGAACGGCCAGTTGCACGGCAAAAGTGTTCCCTATAGAGAGGGTTCCTCCAAGGGAGGTTTGAGTAAAAATGTCTTATTTTTGATTAATATTTAAAAATGTTTATTAATAATTGCAATTATTAAAAATAATCAGTAATTTTAGTTAGTTTAGCTGTATTAAAATGATAATTAAATGCTTTAGTCTTAGTTTCGTCCAATTGTTCAAACATTTGATCATCGGATGCATCTCTAGATATAAAATAGGACTTTAGAGTATATATTGCTTACAGTATTGAATGAAACTTTAAATGAAAATGTGTTTTCTGTTTGTTTAATGTCTTAGGTTTGAGAATATTTTAAATACTTTACATATCATATCCGTATGATTATCTTTGTTCCTTATGGGAAGTGAAAGTTTTATCTTAATCTCTATAAATCCGTTCCTAATGGGGAGGTATTCCTTGTGGAGAAGTTCCCCTAAAGAGAGGTTATTTTAACATTATAAGTATAGGAAATCCAACAAAGATTTCAATTCAGTTCACTATGAGGAGGGGTTCCCCCAAGAAAAGTTCCCCCAAGAGAGGTTGCACTGTATTAATAATATTGTGTTTTATTAATTAGTGTTAGACGTATGCAACAAAACGGTGTCTATGAGTATAAAGTAAGCAAATCATTGAAACCTTTGGGTTTTGGACCCGATATATACGACAAACCGGTCGTCGATTACACCCTTCATATCATATCCATTGAAGACATCGTTGGCGTCGTTTGGATCTTAATCTCAGGCATAACTCTATCAACACTTTTACTGATCGTTGAAATGATATATTTGTGGCAAATATCTCAACATATTATTTCTACATTTAATTTTAGACCATTTATTCATTTTACATTTTTTTCAGCAAATTTTGCTAAAAACAAAATTCAAATCTGCTATAAATTTATGTTTCATTAATTAATGAACTTAATTAAAGCCAGTATATAACATACATACAAAAGACCGTTGATTTGTTAATACGGTCAGACATCTGTTCTGTCAATCATCAATGCTGTCATCATTGTTATCAACCAACTCCCTAAACCATACTGCATAGACATAATGTTATAATAACCTCTATGTTATCAACATCTCTATAATATTGTAGGAATCGGGCCAATATCACTAGAGATCGGAATCTTATGTACTCTCTTGTATTCAGTATAACTTGGCTTTTAGTTAAACACAAATATATTTATTGAATATCAAGACTTTTACAATAGTTGGCAACAGATAAGTGAAATAAAATAGAGAGAGAGAGAGAGAGAGAGAGAGAGAGAGCTAATAAAAATAATAGTTATATGTTACGGAAATAGAAAATATAAACAAAATTATTTATTTTTAACCAAAAATCTGTGCATATATTATACTGCAGTGATTAGTTGTATAGGAATTTGATAATTATTTGGGATGCGATGCACACCAGCGCTGACTATTTGTTGTAAATGACATCACAGACACAATTTCTGTCTTTCCAATTATTGATCTTGGTTATTTTGTGAAAGCTATTTATAATTATATGAACAATATTTCTGTGTGTGTGCATAATTAAATGTTATTGTATTTCAAATGATATCTATTAGTATACAGTATAAGAAACAATGCTATATATTAGTGATAATAATGGCGTTCAGTAAACAATAACCATCAATAGTGATGAAGATTAATTTAGAAGTGCTATATGTGTTGGCAATCATTGGCTGTATATTTCTGATAGTGATGTTTATCGTGTATTTTAAATATTATTTTTAAACTGTGCAAACAATTGTTTTACTAAATTGTGTTATAGTGTATAATTCAGTGAGTATTAGTGTACAAGGTTAGTTACAATCAGAATATTCTTGTTGTAATATTGTTTTAGAAAACACTATAGTGTTGGTTATAAACTTCACATTAAGCACGTGGAAATGATTAATATCTAGCATGTTTAATATTGTTGTTTGTAGTTATTTAATACAAATGGTATCGTATATTAAATTACTGGTCGGACCGTAATATCTCGGTTCAAAACTTTTATCATTGTTTGGCGATAGTTTTAGCTTTTAATTAGAGACTAGGTTATTTTACTGTATTTTATTTTAGTATAAGTTGTCTTGTGTTGTATTTTATTATAAATCATTAAAAATTTATGTTTTATTTGATGGCATTTATGTTTATGTTGATAAGTAAATATTTAACCGACTTTAAATAACTTATGTTATTATAATAACACATTTGTAATGAATATGGAATTTTATGTGAATTTAATGTTTCTAATTTTTAACATATTTGAAATTATTTTATATGCGAGAGAGAGAGAGAGAGAGAGAGAGAGAGAGAGCTAATAAAAATAATAGTTATATGTTACGGAAATAGAAAATATAAACAAAATTATTTATTTTAGCATTAAAAAATTCACATAAAAGAGAATAATATATTTTTTTCTGTGCAATAAATTACTCTCTCCTTAGAGAGAGAGAGAGAGAGAGAGAGAGAGAGAGAGAGAGCTAATAACGACCATCGTTAACTTTTACTGAAATAGAAAATATACTTAAAATTATTTATATCTATAGAAAAACTATTTAAATAAATGTATTATTTGGCAGCAATTAGTTGGATAGGAATTGCACAGATCATCACCCATTAGGGATGTTATCCATACCATCGCTAACTACTGACATTTACAAAATCTTGGTTATTATGGAAAATAAGTTTGTAGATTAATTTTAACAATTATAATTTAGTATAAATTATAGTCATAATAACAGTTAATTTACAGTGACTATATTGTATTTGCATTTTAAATACTATCCATTAGTACATAGGAAACAAATTTGTGCTGTATTTCAGTAATAATAATGGCGTTCAGTAAACAAAAGACATTAACAGTTGTGAAGATCTGTCTGGAAGTGCTGTATGTGTTGGCAATCATTGGCTGCATAATAACGATAGTGTTGTGCGGCATAGCGTTGAGCGTTAGCGATGACAGTCTTAAAGAACATGATCTTGATAAAGAACAAGGTATTTTATAATGATAATAATGTTTTATATTGTACATTTTTATATCATACTAGCGCTTAAATATTTTTGCGCAAGTTACATTTCATACCTATCTTGGTTACAGTGGTAGCCGTTTTGATAATCGTGGTGTTGTGGTTGGTATTGTCGGTCATTGGTTTAGTGGGTATTATCAAGGAGCACAAAATCATCGTGATGGTTTTGCTGGTGCTGACCATCATTGGTATTATAGCAAACTTTGTCACCAAAGAGTTTGGACTGGGCGCCTGGGGTGTGGTGTGCGCTATGTTGACAGCCGTGTATTTGTACTTGATCATTTTAAGAGAAAGGGATGGCTCATAGACACATGCATTAAATGGTTTGAGCGATGATGGCTATTTTTATAATCATCTAGTACATTTATTTCTGGATATATGATAAATTGACTAAGAACTTACGTTCTATGTGCATCTAGTTTACATTATCTTGAGCAATTAATTCGATTGTCATAGATGTTCAATATAAAATTAATATAATTGGGTTAATTAATATACTGAATATATGTTTTGTATACAATTATAATACCAATAATTACATGCTTGTAACTGAGATTTTAACTGATATCTAACTACTTGTAAATTTATAATAAAAACAGTAATTATAAATTTTAACAAAATTAATAGTTAATGATAGCAATATTATTCAATCATTTTATTTTATTTTGAAACTTGATTATAATAAGTATTATAAAACATGATAAATGATTATACTATGATAAGAAATATATAATATAAAATTAAAAAATTGTGACGGTTCTTGTGTTGAGGTTAGGTGTTCAGAGAGGGCGCGCGTAATGCATGAATGTGTTTCGACTTTGAGGATTGATATCTCGAAAACTATGGCCTAAAAGTTCTCGAAAATTGGTGAATCGAAAGATTATGATGTGAGGAACAGCTGATTGGAAGGAAAACTTAGGGATTTGTTTGGGAGCTGATCCAGTGGACAATGAATGTGTCAATTAGACGTGAATGTGTTGACTTTCGGGAAGCGATAACTCGAAAAGTATAGTTTTTATTTGCCCCGAAAGTGATTTGATCGAAAGCTAATGAATAGGAGATGCTTTGCTGTGATGGACAACTTCAGGACTATCACCAAAGCTGATCCAGTGGCTAAAGTGTCAGTGAATGGGATGTGGGTGTAGAGGTGTGAGCGCGCTAGTGTGTGATGGGGAACACCAGATGGGGAGACGAACCGTACGGAACGGTAGTTGTGAGACCAGAATCAAAAAACGACCGGGTCTTACCGTCGGGTGAGGTGTGTGGGTGAGTTGAACGGAAATGAAAATGCAGTGAATGTCTGTTATTGTTTGAGTGATTGGTGGCAATGTATGGGTGAATGGGTGGGTGTATGGATGGACTTATGGACGGTCGGGTGAAGAGTGTGTAAAGTGCAAAAGTATGAGACCTCGGGTCACGTGCTTATCAAAAGCAGGACTCTCTCGGGTAGAATGAAAAATGAAAGTGAATGAATGGGAGACCGTGTTTGTGGGTGAAATTCAACTGAAGGGTTTTATTGAAATGAATGGGTGATGTCTTAATACAGAATATATTGTGGTGTGTGAGTATACAAGTATTAAGTTTACATGTTATGAATGAGTGAATAGGGTTTTCCCTATGAAAATGGTATGTATGAAAAGGTATTGATTTATACAATGGTTATATGTGTTTTATGAAAAATTCTAATTAATGTTATATATAGTTATGATATAAAAACATGATTTGATGGATGTTTTGAATGTGTGATGACATGTGTTGAAATGTGGCAAATTCTGGGAATTTGAGCTGATGTGGTGTTGGTTAACACATAGGTGTGAACTATGTGTGTGTTTGGAGTTCTGAGAATTGAATGCATGAATGATAATGTGAAGGAAAGTGTGGTAAACTATTCCTCGATGTCTTTGTATGGATGTGTTGTTGGAATGTAAATGAAAATCCCTCTCAAAATAACTTTATTATAAATAAATATTGATTTATAATAATCATGTACTAATATAAAATAAGATATTCTCTATTCATCTCTTATATACGATGACTAAATCTACAATTGAAACACATATACAGGAATTTAATGCCCGGATATGTTGTAAAGTTATAAATATAAAATATTCCTGCAACAATGGCATTAATAGTAATTTAAATGCAAACCATGCTTAACAAATTGCATTTAATTAACATTAAATTAATTAAAGCAAATGAGAATTGTTTACATATATTTCAACTCTCGGTAGTTTAGGACATGTGGACAACAACTGTCCGAAATCATTAGCCGAGAGATTATTACTATTACAACATTGAATGAGAAGTGTGTTCAGCGCCGGTAGTCTTGAGATGTGGGCCAAACACTCGCGAGTCATGTAAATACCATGAATGAATAAGTACTGAAGTCGTGGCCAATGTTTGTCACAATTAATTAGAACATATTCATTTAACTGAATGGGTTTGATATGCAGCGTTAAATGTGTTAATCGGTAACAGAGTTTCAACGGTTCCAGCAATTCGGTTACGTTTACCATAATGTTAATTGTTAAATGTAATCGTTTTAATCCACGATAACATCCAAACGACTCAAATGATTGCGAATTGAGTGGCAATAGGCCTGTATTTATCTCAAGTGACAATCGTTTCAATTGTTTGCAATTTAAGCCAATTGTACGCAAAAAGTTGTTCAATGAGTTGTCGCTTGAAACTAGATCTAAATGAAGCGTCAATTGTCGTAATTGTGTTAATCGTGACAATTGTTGCGATAGTTTAATGAGTGTGTCTTTTGTGTCGTAAATATCGCGGGCGACAAGACTTTTGAGGGATAGATTGTGTGCCACAAATGCGGACAACAGTCCGTTATTATCGTTATTATTGTAACTGAAGTCAAATTGATGTAAATTTTTTGCCAATAGTTGTCCGGAAGTGGTGTCGAAGACATACGACAAATACTTAACTCTTAATTGTGACAATCGGTGGCAATGAATGAGCGATTGTTTGGCGACTGAAGAGATGGAGACTGTGTTTATAGACATACGTCTAACTAGAGGTCGGATCCATTGGACCACTTGCGGTGAATCGCTGTGTATTTCCCGTAAATGCCGACAATTATCTCGAAATGTGTTCAATAGTTCGGGAATTTGTTCTTCGTATGCAGTGTTTATTCCTCGACAGTCAATGGTCTGAATGTTTGAAAGTTTTATAGCAATTGTGGCCAACAATTGGGTGTCAATTGATATTGTTTTTGATATTTTACAAATAAATCGGTCGTTAAGAGTGATGTCCACAACACTGTCAAAGACTGTCCTCTGGAACTGTTTGGACACACATTCGTAGGCAAAACTGTCTTCAATTGTGAGATAAGATAAGATGATTGAAAACATATCATCACCGAAACGATCCAAAGAGTCTTTGGCATAGATTTGGGGCTAAAATGTAAGATAAAAACAATTTAAAACTCAATAAACAATCAATTATTTGTTAAATACCTGTTGTCTGTTGTCTTCATTGCCTTCATCTGTGGTCTCGAGTGATGTCTTCTTGTGTTTCATCTGTTGTGCCATATCTTGGGATCAAAATGAAGTGATTGTATGAATGAGTTGTTTAAAAATAACTTTTATTTCTTGAATAAAATGTTAATTAAATATAATATTCAAATAATCGCTAAAATCAAAGTTAAGCAAACATTACATAATAACTGGTCTATCAATTAGTTATACACTTTTGAATTTAAGCACTTTAAATTTATACACATTTTGTGAATTTTAAATGCTATTTGTATTTAACATTTTCATACATTTTGCGGTATTATATAAGTATACAAAAGGACTAAAACTACGACAAGTGTTATATAATAGCAGATAACATGTTATGTACAAAAGGTTAGCATAGCTTATAAGGTGTGGTATTTTTCAAACAAAGGGTCATAAATAATTAAAAACAAAAATATTTGTATAAATGTTGTAAAGTTATAAATATAAAATATTTTTGCAACAATAGTATCAATCGTAATTTCAATTCAATCTACGCTGAATTAATTGGATTTAATTAACATTAAATAAATTAAGGCACATAAGAATTTTTAACATACAGATACTGAAAACCGAAAGTGATCACGGTAATAATTGACTTACAGCTCAGTCGATTGGGATATCTAAAAGCTGACTTCACCAGGTTAAAACCAGATAAACTGGAGATTTGCTGATGTATATAAAGGTATATTAAACATGGTATATTTCAACTTTTGGTAGTTTAGGACACGTGGACAACAACTGTTCAAAATCATGAACCGAGAGATCACCTCTATTACAATATTGTATGATAAGTGTGTTGAGCGCCGGTAGTCTCGAGATGTGGGCCAAACACTCGCGGCTGATGTGAATACTATTGATGAATAAGTACTGAAGTCGTGGCCAATGTTTGTCACAATTAATTAGGAAATATTCATTGGACTGAAACGGTTTGATATCGAGTGTTAAATGTGTTAATCGGTGGCAGAGTGTCAACGGTTCCAGCAATTCGGTTACGTTTACCATAATGTCAAGTGTCATAAGCGTTAAATGTAATCGCGTTAATCCACGATAACATCCCAACGACTCAAATGATTGCGAATTGAGTGGCGCTCGGCCTGAACTCATGATCTCAAGTGACAATCGTTTCAATTGTTTGCAATTTAAGCCAATTGTACGCAAAAAGTCGTTCAATGAGTTATCGCGTGATGTTAGATATAAATGAAGCGTCAATTGCCTTAATTGTGTTAATTGTGACAATTGTTGTGATTGTTTGTTGAGTGTGTCGTCTGTGTCGAAGATATCGCGGGCGACAAGACTTTTGAGGCACAGATTCTGTGCCACAAACGCTGATAACAGTCCGGAATTGTGACTGAAGTCAAAATGACTTAAATTCTTTGCCAATAGTTGTCCATTAGTGGTGTCGACGACAGCCGACAAATACTTAACTCTTAATTGTGACAATCGGTGGCAATGAATGAGCGATTGTTTGGCCACTGAAGACATCCAGTAAGTGGTTATAGACATACGTGTGACAAGTGGTCGAATCCATTGGATTCCTTGTGGAGAAATTAAATCGCTGTATATTTCCCGCAAATGTCGACAATTGTCTCGAAATGTGTTCAACACTTCGGGAATGTGTTCAACACTAGCACTGGTTATTCCTCTTAAGTCGATGGTCTGAATGTTTGAAAGCTTAATAGCGATTGTGGCCAACAATTGGGTTTGAATTATCATTCCTTTTGTTATTTCTCTAATAAATCGGTCGCTAAGAGTGATGTTTACAACACCGTCAAAGACTGTCCTCTGGAACTGTTTAGACACACATTCGTAGGCAAAACTGTCTTCAATTGTGAGATAAGATAATATGATTGCAAATAAATCATCGCCAAAACGATCCAAAGAGTCTTTAGCATAGATTTGGGGCTAAAATGTAAGATAAAAACAATTAAAACTCAATAAACAATTAATTGTTTGTCAAATACCTGTTGATTGTTGTTTTCATTGCCGTCAACTGTGGTCTCGAGTGATGTCTTCTTGTGTTTCATCTGTTGTGCAATATCTTGGGATCAAATTAAGTGATTGTATGAATGAGTTGTTTAAAAATAACTTTTATATCTTGAATAAAAAGTTAATCAAAAATAATATTCAAATAATTGCTAAAAACAAAGTTAAGCAAACATTAAATAATAACTGCTCTATCAATAAGTTATACACTTTTTGTGAATTTTAAATGCTATTTGTATTTAACATTTTCATACATTTTGCTGTATTATATAAGTAACCAAAAGGACTAAAACTACGACAAGTGTTATATAATAGCAGATAACATGTTATGTACAAAAGGTTAGCATAGCTTATAAGGTGTGGTATTTTTCAAACAAAGGGTCATAAATAACTAAAACAAAAATATTTGTATTATAAGTTAAAATATAGCTATACTGTTATGATTAGTTATATTAATTATTACTTATTTAAATTTAAAAAATAACTTATTAAAATTAATTAAGATTTATAATTATAAAATTTTTCATTTGTATTTAAAACTATTTTACTGTAAATAGAAAGATGCATAAAATCATTATGATAAATTGAGAACTTACTAAAATATGTATAATTATTATAATGAAAATTAATTTATGTATACACAGAGACCTACGCTTAACTGTTAATTAAATTATTATTTTTAACAACAATTCAGCAATGAATAATGTGGTCTATAGAATCGTTCTTTAATTAAAAATAGTAAATATACTGTATATTCCTGTCTACATAACAGAAATATTTGATCTTATAAGTTTGTATTTAATAATTCAGGGTAATTTTAACAATTCAAAATGTCCATGATCAAATACGACCAAAAACACACAGTTTACGCTATAGTAAGGCAAATTAAAATTAAAAGTAAAAATTAAATTTTATTACAAAATAAAGTTTACATGTATATTATGATAGTTATAAAAATGTTTAAAAATTATAATATTTAATAACAATTAAAACCATTCCCATAGGAAATGACTGAATAAATGTTGCATGATCAACACACGATATTGCAAATCCGTTTAATTGTTTTTTCAATGTTTGCTCTTGATATTGTCGTTTGAAGTTTTATGCATTTGATATATCAATATTACATTTATATTAATGACATTAAAATCAATGATAGATATTTACCACTCCTTGATCTAGGACATTTAAATTTATTAATAATAAAAATTATAAAATCAGTTATTATAATTACAATAATGTAATAGTTATTATAAAGTAAATATACTATATTATGAGACAGTGTTTGCATCAATACAAATACTGATTATCAAGCAATAGGTAAACAACATATTGTCGTTAATTATATATTCAGTGATAATAATGGCGTTCAGTAATCAAAAGACATTAACAATCGTTAAGATAGTGATGGTATTGCTATACGTGTTGTTTATTATTGCCTGTATTTATGTAATAGTGATATCGGGTTTAAAGTTAGGTACCCATGAAAAAGACCCAGACAAAACTGCTATTATTAAAGAAAATGGTAATATTTCACCTTGTTTAGAATTTATAAAATACAGTATATCCCTTTAAGTAAACGGACTACTATATACAAAATATATGAATAGTAAATAATGTTGTTTGTAAATTAATATTGTTAAACATGATAGACTTATCCGTATTCTAACCTTGTTTACATAGCGATTTACGCGATGACCGCCTGGACTATTGTGTTAATATTGATGATCATTGGTCTGATGGGAATTGTAAAGGAAAACAAACGCACCGTGATTGTTTTGCTGATTATAACCATCATTGCTGTTGTAGCACATTCTGCTACCATTAGTCAACATTATCGGTCGGCCCTATGGTTTACATTATGCGCTTCGTTAACAGCATGGTATTTGATCTTGATCACACAAAAACAAAGGGATACTGAGATTTACCCTACTAATGTAGCATTTATATAATGCATTTTATATTGTAATATTGCATAAAATGTACATGTTCATTCTATAATTAAGTTAATATTTATTTTAAATCTCGCAATTTAAAGGTAATAGAAATGCTTGAACTTTCAGTTATATTGATATAATTGAAACAGTAATGAAATTAATTTTAAAAATGTAATCAATAAAAATGTAATATAAAAATGAAATGTAATCGGTAAAACATAATTGATAATGATTTACTTTTATTTGTAATAATTTAAGTTTAATAATAATTGTTGAATTAAATGCCTAATGATTATTTTTATGGTTACTAGTAATTTAGTTATTACTTTATACTGTAGACAAAAATAATTGTGCAAATATATATTTTATATATAGATCATAAATCCGTCAGCATATACATTTGTCTTGACTAATCTAACTATATTTAACTAATAAATTGAGCAAAATCTGCTTGGCAAATAAAAATGTGCAATATTGTATTTAAAACCAAAATTATTAATAAAAATTTAATTTTAATAAATAAATTATTACATATCCGGTGACATTTGTTATGTAACATAACTTATGTTATAAAAATGGAATAATATCTAGTAATAAGTGAATTAAAACAACTCCCATAGGAAATGATATTTCCAGTTTCGTTTGGATATTTTATTTATGTAACAAGGTTATTTAGCATATTTAACAATTATATTATAAACACATAATAACAAACCCTTGATCTTGACATTCATGCGAAATTCATTTACAATTACTTTTTAGTATTATAATTATAATAGTTATACCTTAAAAATAATTTACGATTGTTTGTATGTATTGATACAAATACTAGTTAACAAACCATAGGATACATAACTTTGTGGTTAATTATATATTCATTAATAATAATGGCGTTCAGTAATCAAAAGTCATTAACAGTGATGAAGATTGTTTTGGAGGTGGTGTTCGTGTTGTACGCCATTCTCTTCATAGCCGTAATAGTAATGTCGAGTATATGGTTGGCCACCAATACGGACCAACCGGATCTATTTCCTCCTAAGAAGCATGGTAACTTTATTAAATTAATTTTATTTACTTAAATACTATGCACTCGGGTCTAAAGGGTGTTTAAACGGTTTTGTAGAATATAAATTTTATAATTAAATTATATTATAAAGCGTACTGTACTAATTAAGCACAGTATAAATTATAAACTTTAAAGTAGATTCCTTAATTAAAACATTTTCTAACCTTGTTCACGCAGCGGGACTCTTTCTGGGTATTAGTGTGTTTGCTTTACTTTATATGATTGTCTGTCTGGTGTCTATTGTGAAGGAAAATAGACGCATGGTCACCATTATGCTGATATTTATTGTCTTGGGCATTTTGTCAAACATTACTTCAGGTTATTTTTTGGTCGCCCTATGGCATTTACTATTGGCTGTGTTAGTGGGTGTGTATTTGAGATTGATCATTCAGAAACAAAACGAGCCTGCCGATGCTGTTCCTACCAAGGTCTGATTTATTTAATGTGCTTTGCACATTTATATTGCATCAAATATACATGTTCAATCTGATATAATTAAGTTAATAATATTCTTATCACTTTATATAATAATAAAAATAAATGTCTCTAATCTCAAACAAAATGAAAGTTGTTTTATTTTTCAGTTATAAAAATAATAATACAAGTAAAATTTATATTAAATGTAATTATTTTATTATCAATAATAGATATGCAAATAATGTTGTAAACTAAAGTTATTAAAAAAAATAAAATTAAATTAAATCCCATTGGATTTCATATTTTTCATTAATATGTAAAGTTTACATTGTAAACTAAACCACTTCTAATAGGAAATGACACAAAGAATAATTCCAGCTAAATACATAATATAACAAGATCCGTTTGGTAATTTTTGTCTATTCTTACTTGCTTTTGTTGTTTTTAAGCTAACAATTATACCCAATAATCTAACACTGATGTAAGTTATTATATTATGTACAAATTGATATATTAAATATACGGCGCGATTGTGTGTTGTATTGATACAAATACTGCTTATCAGGCCATAGGATATACAACTTTACCAATTAATTATAATTATTCAGTGATAATAATGGCGTTCAGTAGACAAAAGACTTTAACAGCGGTAAAGATCTGTCTGGAAGTGCTGTATGTGTTGGCAATCATTGGCTGTATAATTAGGATAGTGTTATACAGCATAGCGTTGGGCGCCAGCGATAGATATCTTACAGAAAACGATCTTGATAAACAAGAAGGTATTTTAAATATAAAACAAATGTTTACTATATATTGCTAAGTTTGTTAATTTTAAACATATCTCGGTTACAGTGATAGTCGGTTTGGTAATCGCGGTGTTGTGGTTGGTATTGTCGGTCATTGGTTTAGTTGGTATTGTCAAGGAGCACAAAATTACCGTGATCGTTTTGCTGGTACTGACCAACATTGGTATTATAGCAAACTTTGTCACAGGAGAGTTTGGTTTGGGCGCGTGGGGTGTTGTGTGCGCTATGTTGACTATTTTGTATTTGTACTTGATCAGTTTAAAAAAATTTGAAAACTCATAGACAACTATTGGGACATAGTTGTAAAAATTATTTTATTAAAATTATTGCGCAAAGTCTATTAAATGAATTAAGCAAGTATGTTTAGTTGTACAATTATTCAATTGCTTATTGTAATAGATTTTTAAGTGTTTAAAATTTATATAAACCTGGTGTATTTGGCAATAAATTGACATGTATTGGATGTTTGTACATAAAATTACTGGAAATCTTCATTTTATTAAAAACATGTTTTGTATATAATTGATAATAATTTCATATTTTGTTCAGATTTTATATAAAACCTAAACATTTAATAAAAACAATACTAAATCATTGAAATCAGATTAATTAACGTGATAACTTAATTAAACATTAAACATAAATTAGTATTAAAATAAATTACATAATGATTTTTCAACAATTACAATATTAAACGTTAAACTCAAAACAATTTTACAGTTAACTTCTTGCAACTTTGGATTAAACATAAA